TCCAAACGGCAGCGGAATGGGCAGAAGGGAAAGCAACAGCGGCAGGTGCCAAAGGTCTTGGGTCTGCAGCAAAGGTGTTTGGTGGGAGTAGGGAGCTCTCTGCGCTTCGCCATGATCGCCCGTTAGGAGCGGCTGGTGGCGAGGCTGCCCGCGGGGCGCTCTAGATGAGGATGAAAGGGGGGAAATTAAGTTACCCCCGAAAAGACGGCCTAGCCGTTTTTTCGGGGCTCAAAAAAAATAAGGCCCGGCCTTATTATGTGAGAAACACGGTAGATCCAAGCAAAGTTGAGCAGTTTGTGTGACAGATCCTTTTCCACAACTATATTTCTGAAAGTTTTAAAAAACATTGCTAGCAACAAGAATAAATACTAAATAATTTAATAAAATCTACTTTTACTGAAACCCCAATACAAAGTGCATTATGGTCAGTAAGGTGTGCAATGGAACTTTCTTCATTAATTAATTTACTTAGCAAAGGCAATCAACTATAATAAAATCTTTTTTAAAAAAGCTAACCAAGGTCCTAAAAACATAAAAATAATAGCATCTCAGTAAAATATAACGTTAAGATGTTTTCTTCCACCTCAGCCTTTGTGGGTCTTGATATTATTTCGCCTACATGGAGGAAAAGAGCAGCCTTCAACAAAGCAAGTTCCCACTTCTCTCCTGCCTGCCAAAAAGGATGTGTGAAACATCATTTCAATCCACCCTGCCCTCGTGATTTCCCCCGCTTCCTTTTCTGAACGAGGGACGGCGGCAGATGGTCTCGAGTGGGTAGAAACGAAGAGCGTTGATCATCAGTTAACTTGGCTCAGAAGCCCATCTAGGCTGGCGCAGTTTCCACATCCGTGTGCCAGAGAGAAAGGGCGCGAATTAAGTTTCGCCCTTTCAAGAAGAGAGCGAGCGGACTCGTCAGCTGAGATTCGCCTTGATCCCTCGTTGCTCCTTTCGGACTTCCGAGAAGAGGCGCCCAACTGGAGCGGACCCGAACAGGGTCGGGCTCCACTTTACGGCGTCCTCTACCTGTGCCGCTGCAGGTGGGAGGCGAGGAGCTGCTCCTTTGGAGAGGCGTGAGGCATCAAGGAGCAGCAGGTGGCCCGGTTTTTTCCTGCTTTCTTGCCAAACCGACAGGCATCCGCTGCCAGTGGCGGGGAAGATAAGAAGTCCCTCCCCCCCCCCCCCCCTGCCCTTCTCCGTCGTGGTCCGTCGCGGAGGCGATAATGAAGGGGGGGGCGGATGACGCCACTGAACCTCTTCGCCTCGTGAATGTCGAACAAAGGAACTTCTGCTGAAGGAGAAAAGGTGGAAAGGGAGCCGGTGCTCTTCCCTTGCCGGAGGCTCCTGACATGAGCGAGAATGCGCGCGCTCCTACCGGGAGATAAAAGCCACGAGCGGACCGGTTTTCCGCCGCTCCAGTTGCCTTTTCGCCTGGATTCCCTCACGGATTCAGAGGTATTCGGTGCTCGGGACCTTCCCGCTCCCGAGGCTATTTATTTTCCATTGGGGAAAAGAATTGGCTTTGGGGTTGCTTTCTGAATCACCCCGCCCCCTTCTTTCTTTATCACTGTCGGCTCGTCTTGGATGGTTTCGAAGTGTCGCCCGTTTGGATGCGGAGTATTGCTGGAGGTGTCCTATTTTCATGTGCTGCTGCCTTATCGGAAGGTGTAAGAGAGAAAGGCAAAAGTCAGAACTACGCTGTGGTGCGTCTAACCGGACCTCGTTGTGCTCCGAGCAGGGCACTTTTGCGAAGCGAATTTGTTTGGAGCTCTCCTTTCATTGGAAAACAAGAAGCTCTTCGCGCCTTGCTTCGAGAATGGCCTTCACATTTGCTGCCTTCTGCTACATGCTCTCCCTGGTCTTGTGCGCCGCTTTGATCTTCTTCGCCATCTGGCATGTGAGTAGATCCTTTCTACAGGTTCCCCCAAGTCCATGCATTTAACTTTCCTCCATACTTAGAGCAGAGAACTTAGAATAATAAGAGTTGGAAGGGACCTTGGAGGTCTTCTAGTGACTAGTCCAATCCCCTGCTCGACCAGTTGTCCCGTACCATTTTAGATAAATGATTGTCTGGTCTTTTTTTTTTTTTTGAAAGCTTCCATAGATGGAACACACAACTTCTGAAAGCAAACTATTCCATTGGTTGAATGCTCTCACAGTTAAGAAATGTCTTCTTAGTTCTTGGTTGCTTCTATCCTTGGTTAATTTCCAACCATTTTTTCTTGTCATGCCTTTTGGTGCTTTGGAAAATAGTTTGACCTCCTCATCTTTGTAGGAGCCCCTCAAAAATCAGAACAGTGCTATCATGTTAACCCTAGTTGTTCTTTTCATTAGACTAGACATACTCGATTCCTTCAACCGTTCTTCATATGTTTGAGCCTCCAGTCCCCTATCATTTTGCTTACTGTTTTCTTTCCAGAGTCTCAACATCCTTTTTTATATTATGATGACCAGAACTGGATATAGAACTTCATACACACATAATAGTTATATGTCTGGGAGATCATTCTGGGATCTGACCAAACTGGAATCTTTTCATTGCTAGTCAACTCAAGCATGAGATAAATCAGTTAGAAATTATAGGACTCATCCAAAAATGTTTTTCAGTGGAGGAACTCAGTTCTCAGCTACAGGTTCAGAACACACCCTCCTATTCAGTAAACGAGAGCAGGCAATGAGAGAATGCCTTCTAGTTGCACTACCTAAGTGATTGTGTGTTAATTTGGAACAACAGAAGCACCACAGACAGATATACTGTACATAGAGTTTCTCTTTGTCATGTGCATGCAAATGCTGGTAGGGCATGGTTCCTTTTTACTTGAGCACACACTTTGGCATGAAAGGCTACATATGATCCTACTATACTTGTCACAAACTGATTCTTGATATATCTATGGAGATTTTCAATCATCCAGGTCATGGTTGCCCCAAAGGTGCTTTTCCAAAAGGCAAATGTAGTTTCTTGGTTTCTTCCTTGAAAATGTTTCACTTCTCATCCAAGAAGCTTTCTCAGTTCTGATTGAATGGTGGGGAATGGAAGGACTTATATTATTTGCAGTTTTCTGGCCCTTAGCACTTGTGGAGGCCACTTGGGGGTTTATCTGTAACCTCAGAGTCACCTGAATCAGAGTGCAAATGGGTGTGGAGCCTTATTGGGACCGTGGAAAGGATTATGTTGTGGACAGGAGATAAGTGGTGTTGTATCCCTTCCCCTCTGTTGAGAGAGGGCTATTCAGTTTGAACATAGATGGCCTTTTTGAACCCTCTTTCATTCTAGAGGTCCTCTCTGTCCAGAATGTAAACTTTGCTGTCTTCAAAAAATGACCTTTGTCTTCCAGATGCAGATGGACTGCTGAATCCTGTCTTGATGGTTTGTTCTCCTGTATTGTGCCATGCATTTGTGAAGAAACAGCCACTTATTTATAAATAAATAAATTTCAAACCAGAACAGTTATTATCTAGAACAGTCCCCATTTCTTCTTCTCTTATGCTTCTAATGCAGCTCACTATTTCCTTTCTCATTTCAAAGTGAGTGAAGGTATGGTTACTGAACAGTGAAAGTAACTTGGATGTCTTGGCAATACCTTATCCAGAGTTGAATTTCTGAAACTCTTCAAATAAATTTTGCTTAAGGAGGTAGGGGACGAATAATAGAATAATAGAGTTGGAACTGCACCTTGGATGCCTTCTAGTCCAACCCCCAGCTTAAGGCATTTATAAACATTCTCATAAATCAGTAAAATAGTCTTTTACTATAGTCTTGAAAGCATGTTCTCTCCCCCACTCTAATTTCCAAAATGAGAAGTTAGTTTGATGCCTATTGTGCTAGTTGAACAAATGTGGTGCACTGGCCTTTCTCCATCATTGCCGAACCCATTACTACTGTAATTTAGAAGACTGTATGGGGTATCAGGCCCACTCAGATTTATCAAGAGACTACTGAAAATGAAACACTGTTGTTATTCTGAATATGGTGTCACATTGCCTTTTCTCCTTCCTGCTGTATCGTGGCTTACTTATCGCTGACTTGCATTGCCAGTTAGATTAATAGCTCTTAGGTTGTCATTGTAGTGGTGTTTCTCCTCAAGGCATTCTAAACTGCATCCATTCCCCTTTCATTTTTTTAATGTGATTGTAATTAACAATTTGTTAATTAGCTATCTGCCAACTGTTATTTCATGTGGAAAGTTGGACAAGGTGCTCTTCGTATCAGGAAATGACTAAACACAGAATGTACTTGTTTTATGTTATCACAAAGAGTAAGCATTTATATGTTCTGACTGACATGTTGCTTAAGTCCTATAAATATCTTTGAATAGGGACATCTTGTTCTGACAATTGATACAGGGAGTGGGTAGGCTGAGTATGTTCCGCCTTGCCAATTCTCGCATTGATGCAGAATTCTCAGAATAAACAACATCTTTTAAGAAATCATTTTATTTGAAAGTAAAATCATAGCAGAGACCAATCTTATTTTTTCTAAAATTCTATACTTGTCCATTGTATAAGTATATTGGAACATATTCCCAAATAGCAAGTCATGATGTTTTAATTTCTGCTTTAAGCATAATCTGTTATACTTCAGCATATTCAATGGCAATTGGCTACTCAAAATTTTAAACAAAAGTTTCAATTTCACATTTATCATTGAAAATGAAAAACTGTAAAACGTCAGATTTGGAAAAACAGGTAGTAGCAACAGGAATAGCATTTAGACTTATATACTGCTCCATAGTGCTTTATAGCCCTCTGTGAACGTTTACACCAGCATATTGCCCCCAACAACCTGGGTCTTAATTTTAACAACTTCGGAAGGATGGAAAACTGAATCAACCTTGAGATTGTCAGGACTGAACTGGCTGTGGGCAGAATTAGTCTGCAGTACTGCATTCTAACCACTGCACCTTCAGGGCTGTATCAATTATCAGTACCTAAAGACTTTGGCAAATACCCCCCCCCCACTAATCTCTGAGTAAGGGCAGACCTGTCCTGAAAGGAGGCAGTGGAAAATTATTTCAATGTTGTTGCCAAGAAATCTGTATGGATGTGTAGATTTGGTCAACAGGAACTAAGCAGTACCTAACCAACTTTGGCTGGTCTTAAAAAGTGAAGGATGGTTAGATCTGATTAGTGCCTGGATGACTGATTCTTAGAAATCTCAAGAATGTAGAATTGGTTGCCAAGCAAATTACATATACTGTACAGTAATCACTAGGAGTCATGCTTGATTCAAAGCAAATTTAATTATTTAAAGGCAGGGTCATTTATTTAATACAATATTTTTACTCACTGTCCTATTTGAGGTATTGAAATACTTCAAGTCATCTCCAGAGGATAAAAAGGAAAGGAACAAACATATGACACATAAGAAATGAAGAACTACTTGAAATGGTAAAAATGCAACCAAGAGTTAGTAGGATTTATATCCACTACACTAGTAGATTAACATAGGCTCTATACCAGTTTCTCCTTTTGATGCTAAGAAGGGTATAGTGACCTACAAATGAAGCATTTCCACTTTGTTTTCTATTATAGCAATTCAGGGAATTTGAATGACAAAAAAGCTCTGCCTCTTTTAGCTACAGAATTTTTCTTGCAGTCAAAGAGGTAACTATAATAACTGAATCACAATGAATCACAACTGCTTCACAATGCCACTTACAGTATCTATGGGAATGAAAGCTGGACATAATAGGAAAGACATGAGCATCATGGAAAGTAAGCAGAGACTGTAAGAACTTTATGGTTGAAAGATGTGCTTTTAATTGGTGCTCTAGAGTTTGAAGATCTACTTGCTTGATTTCCACTTGGTTCATGTGTGCTACGAGAAAAAGCAATCTCACTACTAGAGAATAGGAAAAATGTAACAACACTAAATCAATTCTTAAAGTGAAAACTTTTTTTATAATGTAATTTATAATGGGACAGATGTTCCATTACTGCTTTGGGATTGTTCTGAAAAAGAATCTATGATTGTATGCCCATACCGACATCTAAATAGTACAGAATAATGTGCTCTTGAAATAATCTGCTTGTTGAAATGGGCATAACTAAATAGAATAGAATAGAATAGAATAGAATAGAATAGAATAGAATAGAATAGAATAGAATAGAATACTTTATTGGCCAAGTGTGACTGGACACACAAGGAATTTGTCTTGGTGTAAATACTCTCAGTATACATAAAGAAAAGATACATTCATTAAGAATCAAGAATCATAACATACAACACTTAATGACAGTCATAGGGTACAATCAACAATCAAATCATATTAGGAAACAGTCAATATAAATCGTAAGGATACAAGCGACAAAGTTACAGTCCTACAATCACAAGTGGGAGGGGATGGGTGATAAGGAGTGATGAGAAGATTAACAGTAATAGTAGTGCAGACTTTGTAATAGTTGAACAGTGTTGAGGGAATTATTTGTTTAGCAGAGTGATGGCTTTTGGGAAAAAAAACTGTTCTTGTGTCTAGTTATTCTGGTGTGCAGTGCTCTATAGCATTGTTTTGAGGGAAGGAGTTGAAACAGTTTATGTCCGGGATGTGAAGGGTCTGTAAATATTTTCACAGCCCTCTTTTTGACTCATGCAGTATACAAGTCCTCAATTGAAGGCAGGTGGGTAGTAATTGTTTTTTCTGCAGTCCTAATTATCCTCTGAAGTCTGTGTCTGTCCTGTTGGGTTGCAGAACCAAACCAGACAGTTAGAGAGGTGCAGATGATAGACTCAATAATTCCTCTGTAGAACTGTATCAGAAGCTCCTTGGGCAGTTTGAGCTTTCTGAGTTGGTGCAGAAAGAACATTCTTTGTTGTGCTTTTTTGATGACGTTTTTGATGTTAGGTGTCCATTTTAGGTCATGTGATATAGTAGAACCTAAAAATTTGAAGGTCTC